CCCCCCCCCCCCAGCAAGGAATGCCACAAGTTGTGGTAGCTAATTCCGCACGGCGAATTAAGTGCTCCTTGTGGGAAGAAGCTCTCTTGTTTCTAAGCCTTGAATGTCCTCTCAGACTCATTAGATGGAGCGTCTAAAGTTTAAGAGGAAATTTGTGGCTTGTTTCAATTTATTACATTGGTGTCCTGCGTTTCCTACAAGCAGCTCAAGGGGGCGTACGTGGCCTTCCCTACTTTAATCCTCACGCCAACTCTGTGGCTGTGCCCGCGCCTGCACAATATGTGGTTAAGGGAACACAGTCACTAAGCTACAAATTTGGCCAGCCACAGTTTTAAGCTAGCCTGTTGGCCAACTTAGTCTATGAGTTTGACTTAGCAAGCAGGTCTCATGTAGGAATGGCATACTGAGTAGGAATATAAATTATTTCTTTCCACTCCTTAGTTTCTGGAGTTTGTATTATAACTGTAGCTGTTAAATTGTATATAGAGATTTAATTGCTTTAAATTTCTGGTTGGCCAAGGAAAAGTACATACCAAGAGGGAGCCCTTCTTTTCTTTTTTTTCCAGTGATCACATTTATTTATTACATCTCTATATAACTCATCTCACCTAAGTGATTCACCTAAGTGACTAAATTTGAATTTTTGAAATATATACACCAATAGTAAGGTCAGGACAAAATATCAGCATCAGAAAAAATGATACAATTAAATTCAAATGTATTAATTAAATAAGGCAAGTAGGATTTTTATCTGTCCCTCCCTCCCTCCCTCCCTCCCTCCATCCATCCATCCATCCATCCATCCATCCATCCATCCATCCATCCATCCATCCATCCATCTATCTATCTATCTATCTATCTATCTATCTATCTATCTATCTATCTATCTATCTATCTATCTATCTATCTATCTATCTATCTATCTATCTATCTTTTAAACTAAAAATGACCAAATAATTAGAATTTAGTACATAGACTTTAATGGTGCTCTGCGAGACCATTCAGGCTGATTTTTTTTTCTCATTAAAGTGGAATGAAAGGCAATTTTTTTTGTGATACAGTGTTCAAATTCTGGATCTCAGAGCAGTGAGAGGCATTACATTCCAAAAACAAAAGACATTTTTTGCTTGTGCTTGCTTGGAAAAATTGGCTTGGAGAATGGGAAAGAAGAGAGGGGATTAAATTCAGGAATTCATAGATATTAGAGTGGGCCTCAAATTAGAGTGGGCTTCAAATGTAACCTTTTGGATGTCTGGCAAAATCTGAGAGAAGAGGAAGAGGCAAAATTATGTTTGCTGTTATTCTACACCTGAAAAGCAATTAAATATTTTCCCCAAGCATCATGACTGGTATGTTAGGAAAATCCAATACACGTGTGTCTATCTTGTGAATTTGTTATACTGTATGTTGCTTTGGTTTTCTTTTGTACTGATTAGAAAAACTGAAAAACACCAAATCTGAAAAAAGTAGGTTCACATGGAATTCCTTAGAGAGTATTCTACTTTACAGGGAATACAATTATGAAATGTTGGATTAGGACCTGGAACACCTAGGTTCAAATCTACCCCAAGCCACAGAAATTCAATGGGCAACTTAGGACAATCACACAAAATTGCTTAAAGGGGTATTGTGGGTAAGTTTGAACCAGGGAGTGCTATCTATGACGCTCTGAACTTTGGAGGAAAGGTCAGCTGTATGTCTCATAAAACAAATAAAAATAAAGTTCAAATGTCACACACTGTATATCTTGCTTCTATGCTTATTTAAGCAATTAAGGCCGATATTTTACTACAGCCATCATGCAATCCCTGTAATTGCAATTTTTGCAATTATAACAGCAATTTCTAGAGTTTTCAAGGAGAACCCCACATAAAGCACATCGCAGTAAACAAGACAGGGATGTAACCAAGGTATAGATCAGTGGTTCTCAACCT